GTCAGTTCAGCGGTCAGCATGAGTAGCCTCTACGAACAAGCGCGCATACACACACACACATCACTATCTCTTAATCGTCTGTTTACAGATAATCAGTGAACTCAGTAGGTCACCCAAGGGTCAGAAATGCCAATCCACCCGTGAACCTTTTTTCTGGAAAGAAAACTTGAAAAACGTACTTTGTCAGACAAACCAGAAACCTAATGTTGGCAATTCACCTCTAAACAAGAGGCGGTGGTGGCCCGGTGGTAACGTCACCACTAATCGCCCCGGAGGACGAGTGTTCGAATCCCATCACCACCGCCTGACTTTCCCCAGTTGTGTGTTGCATGGCAGCCCTTTGATTGGCCGCTTCCCCCTTACTGAAAATTGTATCTTTGTATATTCAATAAAAAGGAAGTAAAAATGAAAAAGAAGAGAGAAGAAAAAGAAGAAGGTTAGAACATACAGTGCGCTTAATTCAACGCTACAGTTATTGGCGCGTTAGCAGGGGCTTAAACAAACGAAGTGAAGTGACATTTTGAAACGGACAGTAGGCTTTGGAAACCGGATAAAGCAGTGATATCCTGGGGAATATGTTTTTACCGTTTTTCTTTTTAGATTAAAATACACATCACCCCATTCCACCCCATCCCGGTTGGAACGAAGTAATCCGGTCCCAACTGATTTTATCATCACCCTCCACCTAACCCAAAGGGAAAACACCCTTTTCGAGCAAACATCGCCATCAACAGGAAAGAATATTAAGTCCGTTCCTCAAGACAGCTTACAGGCCATCCTGTTGTGAAAGATACCAAAGCACATAATCTGTGTCAAAATTATGGGGGCAGTCTCTTTCTCATCCAATTTCTTCATTATCAGTTCCACAAAACGATGAATTCAAAAGGTGTTCTTAACTTTTAATTCATAAAATTTTGGCATAAATTATTGACGGATACGTCTGAAAAATTACAGACTTTCTGACACTCAGAGAGAAAGAGAGAGAGAGACAGACAGCTCACGCGGAGGACGATGTGTTAGTTTCATGCAGTTTCTTTTTTTGACGGGTCGTCCAGATCCGTCGGGTGATTATCTTTAAATTTCAGCTTTCTCTCACTCTCTCCGTGAGCCTGTTCACCGCTATCTGCTCTCCATGTGTCCGGTGTTACTGGACCAGTAACTTCAGCCTCTTATGTGGCTATCTTTTTTTGCAATCGCGCGGGACAAAACCTTGTTACAATAGGTACTGGCATTCAGACGGCATCCGGCATGCTGCTATGTGCACGTTAGTATCAAACAGGGCGATTCATTGTCAACAAATAATGGGGCCAGTTACCACGTTTGTAACACGAAAAACGTTGATCCGTCAGAACAGTTGAAGTACAGTTTGAATTATCAGTTTCAACTAGAGAACATCAAAGCAGACCAACAAACCCCGATTAGTGGATTACAGGCCGAGGTTATTGGTTTGTTCGGAAAAGTTGCGAATCCAACTATGATTACATATTGCAGAAATCCACATATGTTGGATACACATACGCATCGATTAAAGGGAATGATTTGTGACGAGAAAAATTTTAATCTGGTTGGGTCTAAAACTTAAATACCTGCTGAGAAGAAGTGGGAAAGACGGATAAATGGCAATTTATCAGGTTACGTAACGAGAAACGATTGGGAACGGCCTGTGGTGCGTTTTTCTTAAATGATTCGCGTCAGTTAGAAATTCAAGACATCCACCAATCTGTGATGGATTTCGTAAACATGTTGAAACAGTTCGTGTGGACGGTAATCGTGACGAAAAGGGGTGTAGCAACATCTTTTCATGAGATCCGGGTGTACTTCGTGTAACATACATTTTAAAATGGGCTTTCTACTGCCTGATTGTTAATCGTGCAAACAAATCGGAATAACAAGGAGTTCATTCTCTTTGATGAACTTAAGAATCGGAAGAAATTGGTATCACAGCTTGTCAACAGTTAACCAGCAGTATGAGGGAAAACTTGTCAGGGTTTGGTATCATGAATACGGACTATATTCACCTGAGGTCATACAAATTTTTTAGTAGTAACACACTGACCCTATATTTTGTAGCATTTTATTTCGATACATTCTTAACTACTTTTGAGTGTTCCCGTAATTGTGACCCACATCGGATGTGAGCAAAACAGGCTATCCGAATTCTTCGCCTAAGATTGTTAAAATCATTTGTAGAACAATCGCAGTGGATTGTCGAGAATTCCGCGCCCATTCTGTGCCCGCTACGTTGTTTCCTGTGAGCATCGAAACCCACAATAACGGAACTCTTATCGTTTATTCGCCTAAGAGAGCAAAACCACTAGATCCACTAAACACGGACAACCCAACTCTTACGCAACAACAAAAACAACTGAACTTGCACGAACTCATCGATCGGGATGAAATGGTTCCAAAGCTGAATGCGTTTACTTGGTGATTCATTTACTCTCCGATCGAATCTTTCAAGTTAACCCATTTCATGTGAATGAAGATGATTTTAGAGGACCGAAACTAGATTATAGTCTTTCAACAGCCCACAGACACAACCCCTAAAAAATCCAATAAACCACTTTTCTAATGCCACGCCATCAGGTCGTCTGAAGATAATAAAACACAAGGAATGTTTTTACACCAAAACCTTACTCACTACCGTATCTTGGCTAACGTCTACGAATATCAGTCGAGGAAATACTATGGCTAAAAATTAAACTTCAACGATATTTGAACATGCCATCGGCACATGCGCTTTACGTCTTTCTGAAGTTTTTGACTAAATCGTTTTCAACTATCTAGTGCGCATGGACCTTTCATCAGTCAACATTAGTATAAACTTTTGACAATTCTGCAAATATGACACACTTCACTTCACGTGTATGATGATTGTTTAACCACTCATTATTTTAGCCAGTAAAGTATTTTTCTAAACATATTTTACCAGGAAAATTTTATCATTTTATCCAATTTAAATAAACGGCGTTTCGTTACGTGTGGACAAGCATTAACTGGATTTCCATTCTTACCATAGGTCATTCACTTGAAATATGTGTGATCCGCATGTGAGTTCATGTCTACAAGATCCTGAATGACTCCAATCATTCCTGAACTATGATCGATCAATTTGTCATTGATCACCCATAAACAATTTGAATGTTATATAGAGCAATTCTTCGTTTATAGAGTAAATGAAGCGTGTCGTGAAAAGCTAGGAAGCCTTGTGCAGCTATTTCGACCTGGTTGGGTCCCATTAGCAGTCCGAATTTATCGACCCAGCTGCCGATTGAACCCGAGATTTCACAGGTAGGACGCAGGCATACCATCCACTCGAACACTGGTCATCTGACCAGACTGTTTCCCTTTATTTTCTTTTTTACATTATGAGTTCCACCATTTAATTAAATCGAATCCTTCACTACTTTCATTTCCTAATTCAAATGTTGATAAAATACTACCCGGCAGAAAGTTGCGTAAAATTTAGTAATGCCTTATTTGACTCGTATACTGATAGACAAGAAGGGTTCACCTGAACTTTTTCGTAAACCCACATGAATGAATACAATTTTTACAATTTACCTTGTTAGAGGATACTTTCTGAGATTTTATTTCAATATGACAGAAAAATTTGGACTAGAATCATCCTGATATCATGCAAAAATCTGCACACTTTTCAGCCAATTGAAAGCAGTCGTGCGATAAGGGAAGAGGGACATGGCCTAATCGAGCACTGGAATCGGATAACTGGCCACATTTATTCAATTGTTCTCGTGAGTCAAAACAACCCATTGGAACGTGTTTCGTATAAAAATTGCTGGCCACGTTAGAGCATGAACCAAAGAGAATCAATCGGGGAAAATTGATGTCCTTTTTACTTTGTCACGCTCTGGCCTTACCAACCGAAGATGAACAAGCAGGGTTATGTGCAACACGTTAAGATTACATGATTAACTAACCTCCTACCACTTTTAATCTTTCACCTCACAACTAAACATCAACATTGCTTCTTATTAATCAGGGCTCAAGCAAGCTTAGAGCTACATATACAAGGTTGTCTATTCTAGTTTTCAGTCGTTATTCGAGCGTTACCCGAGTGACTCTGAAGTAGCTTGTTCTGATGCCTTTAAAGTCTGTCCTTACAGTGATTCAAACTGTCCATCTCTGCTCGATCCAACTGCTAAATAAGATATCTATAATGTCTGAGATAGCGGCATTGATAAGTGCAGTTCTAGTGAATAATCAGGAAAAATTTGCACTAACTGGGACATGACAAGCACCATTGCCACTTGTGGTGCTAAGAAATTAGCGCCATTGTGAATCAGCCACTACGACCGAAGCTAAGATTTCATCTAATGTAAGCCTTCCCTTGTGTGGGGAACGGTGGCAACGGTGCTTGTCATGTCCCAGTTCATACGTCGTGCCTGGCAGAGAGATACAACACATAAATAGAATATTAAGCATCAAAACAGTTTTCATCAATTTCTGCGTGTTTCTCTTGGGGTCAGCATTTTATTCCAATAGCAGGGATCCCATGTATGAAAGCTGAAAAGTTATCTTTTGTCGTAAAATAGCCATGCATACTTTTCTATCTGTATTCGATGATTAAGGTGCACACTTTGATTTTTATCCAAAGCAGGTCGTTATCGATTTTGACCGATCACGTCATTGTATACTTGGTATAACTGCAAATCAAATCATAACATTTCTATCTAATATGAACAGAACAATGCGTTGCTGAAATATTTTGCGGATTACCAACTGTATATTGTATGAATGACTCATTTCAAGATCGCGGTCACATAACTGTTATGTTGTCACATTAATCTTCTCTTCTAGTGTAGTTCGTATCTCGAAAAAAATGGACTTATTTTGTGGCGAGCAAATAGCGGATTTAGGTGATCGCCAGAGTGATTTCTCATTAACTTTTCGAGTGTCTGTGGGCTTCTGACAACTTTCAGTGTATTGCCGTACTTCTATCACAGAACTTCCCAAACTTGTGCAGTTTTTTTTTTACTTCACTGGTACTCACGTGTTTCCCGATGCGTACCGCGCCTGTGTCTGGATCGATACGGCCTGCCGCTTGTGGCCAACTGCCTCGGATCATCACTATCTTCTATCCGGTCTTCCATCATCATATCTCGAGCGCGTCTACGCCATACGCGAGCCATGTGATCGTCCAAAATGCGATCCGGATTTGCCATGTTCGTGTCGGCCAAACAGGACGCAGCTGCAGCCGCAGCCTTTTCGAACAATTGACGAGCCCACTGAAATTGTTGCAAACTTGGATGCAGTTCAGTCTGTATGTGTTCATTTGCGATCAACATTGGACATATTTGAACAGAAGATGCGGGAGGGAGAGGGAGAACGAGAGAGAAAAAAGCGGGAAGTTTGAGCGTGATGCAGCGCAGATACTTTTGATTTGCTTACCGATCAGGTGCACACTCAGTTATCATATCAATATTCATGTCGAATACATAAACAGGATAATAACTAAATGAATCAATAAAATGTATGCTCAGGTTTGAGTAAAATATGAGCGATTTAACAAAATCTTGGCAATAAATTGCAGAGTAGGGTGATTTCCCGGCGATCGAGTGACTCAGCTCAATTTCTCCGGCGTGTATAGCAAAGTTCTACAGTTACTGTAATACGGTGTCGCGCGGTTCATTGATCAGAATCTCATGTAGAGTCAGGAAAAGCTTCATGCACTGTGATGGGTAAATTTGCAATGTGACACAAAGCACGCATTACTAATCAACAATAATTCTTGAATTATGCACCGTCTACTTCGTGGTGCCGAATAAAATGTCTTCCGAAAGCATGTATCTGGTCGTAGAACACGGTTTGGTGCGATCTATGTGATTACCGGTTCTGGACTGAGCTCTAGTGACACAGAGTTAATAAGCTGGAATATGCCGGTGATTTCGCCTTGCTGTGTGACAATTAGGAAGCAGTTCAACTTTCTGTGAACCGTGATCAAGGTATCCGCATGTGGTATGTGCTCTTCACCATCCAAGTGTTCAAGACTGGCAACAGCCTGTGCCTGTAATCACCCTCTGTGGTGATCAACTGTAGATAGTCGAGAGCTTTAAGTAATTCAGGGGCTTGATTATAGCTGGGATGTTTCTTGGGCGCAGATTACATCACCATCATACACCCGACGTCGCCTCAAGGGAGGGTTGTACGTTACCGCGGTTCATATTGTTCTGCTTTATGGTTACAAAACCTGGTCTCTCCGTGCTTAGGATGCTGACCGACGTTTTTTATTCAACCACTAATGACGTCGAGGTACTACTCTGGTGAAACAATCCTGTGAGCAATGACTAAATTAGTTATGGCGTGTTGGATACTGATAATCATTCTCTAAAAGATGAAATCACTCTGCACCGACCCCGATGGATTGATCATGTTTTCTTAATGCCCGCTCGTCGTCTAGCTTTCGTGATCTCTTGACACTCTCTGGGTACCGCTGGAAGACTCATTGCGGTGGTTGGTCCAAAACCTATCTTAGGGACAATATAGAAATCGGTACTTGCTAAGAAATCTTTTTGGATTTATCGCATCAGGCCTTTATATATATAAGTTGATCACAGAACAGGTATCTGATGGGCTGATTAAAGCTCAGTTAGTAACGATCACAGGGGGACAATGGTTTCAGTTCGTGCAACCGCATTCCAGGTTGAGAAACAAGGGATGAAGATTATCATTGATTTGAAGTGCCAACAGAAATAGTTGAGAATAAAAATCAGTGAGGCGAATGCTGTATACGCTGTCTGTTGAAATTACGTGCATCATTAAGGATAAATACATGATAATTGTACTCCAAAGGTTTTTTTTGAGACATCGTTTACGTCGATGGTGTTGTGTTTTGTACTCGGTTTCGCCAATTTTCCTCATCTTTACCCCATTCTCATTTTTCTCTTCTCATTGTTGTGGCGTTTCCTCATACTGACTTCCAAGCCGCAGATTATGCATAATTATATAGAGAGAAGAGCACATTTATGCAACTGCAACTGGAACAATTCGATCGATTCCTTATGGTGATCACTGGATTGGTAAGAAGAAAAGGTGTGTTACCTCCGAAAGCCTCAGTATGTTCGGGGCTGATATCTTGGGTTATGGCTGGGCATATTTTCCTTGCACCTCGCAAAATGTTCTATACTCCCAAGCGGCTCAAGTAGCCTCTGCTGTGGAAGCTCTACTCACTGCCTTCCCGTGGTGGAAATATTTTCCCACCAAACTGAGAAGGCAAAAACCCAATATCCGGGGCAATGATCGGGTGGGTGAACGACTGGCAATTCAGTTCGGTAGATTGGCTAAAATCCCTGATTCCAAACCAAACAAGAAGAGGCGTAAGAACCACGCGCCTACGTTTCTGGACGTGATAGTAATCACCGACTTGATAGGGTATCGATGTGTATTGAGCACCTTGGACGTTTGGCCCCGTCCGAAGGCCGTATGACCCGATGAACTGGACACCGGGCCTTAATGGAGTGTGGTTCTCGCACTTCACCCCGCTGCCTTGCTGGTTGGACTTTGTCTAGTCAAAGACTTCGATTGTGAACTCCCCAAAAGTATTCAAATGCCTCGGGCCTGGGAAAACTGGCAATATCGCACTAGCAAGTAAAGTATGGATATTTTCTTTTCATAAAAATCACTGTACTGAGATATTTTGGCACACAGTCTGGACTCATTCTTGTGTGAATATGTATATATATATAGCATATATAGCATTGGTTCTTTAATGGAATGGCTCTGAAAGAACTGTATATCCAATGGTCACCCGGTATTGAGAACAAGGTTGTTGTGGCGAAAATACACTTCCTGGGTACAATTATATGAATGAACTGACAAAAGATTACCGGATACGCAAGTCCGATGAGCGACAAGAACCGCGAAACCGGCCGTGTGCTTCCAGGGAAACTTTGTCTAGTTATTCACATACTAGTTATAATGATATATATATATATGGGGATGCGAATAAACGCATGCGATAAAGTGTAAGTAGGTCTTTAGGCAGTATGACGAGGGTGATCACGATCTATCGATTAACGAAAATGGAACACCTGGAGCCCTTATCCGAACGTTACATGGAGCGGAATCCCAGAACCTATACTGAATGCGGTTTCTTAAAATCTTGATATAAGAACAAGTAAGAACATAAAGTTGATAGACTAGGTGTTAGGATCCGGATAGGGGTTAGCATCGTCTTATCTACAATAGAATGAGGATAGTCTTAAAATCTCCCTTATCGCCGAATGGTACTTGTATTTCTAGATTGTTTTTATAATCTGGGATAGTGAATATTAGGCGTTTTAATCGGTGTGAGAATCTCCGAGTCACATGATCTGTATCGAGAATCTGCTCCGGTTGTCCGGGCGTTTTAGGTTTTACCATGTTGAATGCGGTAAATCCAGATACAGTAATAGAGAGCTGGTTGCCACAGTCGTTTAAATATAGCACAATGGCGGTTGTTTTCTATGCCAGACAGTCATTTCGTAGGAAAGTATCTCGGGGCTGGTATTCATAACCACCCTGACCCATAGTTGTCAGCGCGCTAGTCTCATGTATCCACCATGGTGCCGGCGGGAATGTTCCCCTGGGCGTTTTGCCGGAAGATTGCCAAAGTTTTGGATACTTTGATATCAAAGCATCTTTACCGGTTCAGAGTTTTTGTCCTATGATTGAGTTCGTTGGGGCCTGACTGATTAGAACTGATGGGTTTGAGGTAATATGTTAAAAATCCACAACTTCTAGAAACCCATTTTCACCTTTTTCCATATTCTGTGATTCCCGAATGTCACGGTTATCGCTACCTACGAAGCGTTCGGCTAGAACATTGACTCAGGGTGACAGCGGTAAGGATGCTGAATGCTCAAAACCCAGAGCCAGGTTTTCAAATCATCTGGAAGAGAACAGAGTCCCATGATCTGAAATTATCAGATCCGGAATGCCGTGTTAATATACTAGAAAGGGTAATGTGCCGACAGTAGTACAATAGGTCTAGAATTTCAAAGGAACAATCTCTAACCATATAGAATAGCAATCGACTTCAAGAAACGAAAAATTTCC